ATCCCATCCCATCCCATCCCTGTTCTAGCCTGGCCACATCCTAGCCTGGCCCTGTTCCACTCTAGTCCCATCCCAGACAGGCTGCATCCTTACCTGACACCATCCCACTCCATTTCCATCCCAGTCCCATCCCACTCTGGCCCCATCCTATGCCAACCCCATCCTACTTCAATTCCATCCTACCCTGGCTGTCTTCCACCTTGGCCCTGTCCCAGCCTGGTCCCATCCTGCCCCAGCCCCATCCCACCCCATCCTCTTCCTCACCTGACCGGATCCTTCCTTGGCACCGTCTCACCCCATTCCCTCCTCACCCCAGCCCCATCCCAGCTCAGCAGCCGTGGGAATGGTGTCTGACCCTGTGCTAATCCTGCAGGAGTGACGTGTCCCCAGCCCTGCTGGCCCTGCTCTGGGTGACCACGGTGGCCTCGGCCCCACGCTGAGGCCACAATGTGTCCCTTCCCCCAGCCCTGCTCCCTCTGGAGCACAATGGGCACTGGGGCTGAGCCTGCCACCGCCATCCCCGGGCTGGCAGCCAGCCTCTGGCACTGCAGGCAGCCTCCAGGGCTGAGCCAACATCCCAGCTCCCCTGGACTGCCTGGGCAAGGGCCTCGTGGGAGCTCAGTCCCTGGGATGTCCTGAAGCTGGGCTGTGCAGCTGGAGCAGGGAGGTGTCCCAGCACCCCAGGAGTTCATCCTCTGCTCTGGTGTCCTGGCATGGGGACAGGGATGGGATAAGGTCCCTGTGGGCTGCATGCACCCCTTTGGAAGGCTGTGCCTCAGTTTCCCCAAAGGTGCTCTCTGTGGTCCTTCAGCATCCACGAAGATCTCCCTGCTCCACCATCCACCCCCTCTGTACCCTCATGTCTGGGTCACACTCCCAGGACACAGCAAATCCATTGGCTAGAACCTGTATTCCATTAGCATTCCTGCCTTTTCCCACCTGGCAGTAGGCAGCTGGGCCTTCATTGCCCATGGTGGGCATTTCAGAGTCTGCCTTGGCCAGATGGGGGGATTGAGCATCCTGCTGCTGCCCCCCACACCTGCGACAGCATCCTGCAAACGTGCCCAGGGTTGGATGATAGACCCAGCCCTGAGCATTTTGGTGGCTGTCCCAGGTGCAGGATGGTGGTGGGGAGGAGTCTGGGGCTGTGCACAGTGCTTCACATGTCCCAGCAGTGTCTGTCACTGCCTCTGTTATCTGTGACACAGGCAATTCCCTGCTCCCTCAAGAGAAAAAAAACCAGGGCATGGAGGGCTGAGAGGAAGCACCGGGGACACGGAGCAGATCCGTTTCCTCCTCCCACTTCCCAAGGCAGCTCCTGCATGGGAAATCCAAGGCTGAGGCCCTGTGTGAGTCCCATCAGTGCTGACAGCAGGGCTGGGAGGTGGCAGCAGCGGTGGTGGCTGGGGCATCCTGCCTGGAGAGCACTGCAGCCAGCACCAGAGCCCGTGCCTGCCTCCCTTCCTGTGTGAGGCTTCCCGGAGCTCCTGTCTTGCTGCTTCTCTTTGGGCCTCCCTCCACCATGGGGAGAAAACCTGGCATCCTCATTCTGAGCTCTGGGAGCTCAGGGTTTGTGCGTGGGCCAGGCTATCAGGCTGTGGGACCTCCTGTGTTTGTATCCCGAGCCCAGCAAGATGCTCCAGGGTGGGCAGGATCAGCCAAACAGCTGGAGGGCAGAGGATGGGAACCCTGGGGCAAGCAGAGCTGCTGATCAGAGCGCTGTCAGCCACACGGATCCACCCAGCAGGGCTCAAAGATTCGGGATCAGCCGCCAAAGGAGCGCTGTGACCCAACCCAGCTCCTCCCAGCGAGGGGAGCGCAGGGTGCAGCAGCTGCTGGGGCGGGCAGGACGGGGCTTGCTGTGCACACCGCGCTGCCAGGGGCTGGAGAGGCACCGCCGCCAACGGGGAGCGGGGAGCACCCCCGGGGGAGCGGGGAGAAGCCCTGCCTGCCCGTCAGGGTCAGCAGCACAGCCCTGCCTGCCCGTTAGGGTCACCAGCAGCTCGGGCATGGAGCCAAGTGGAGTTTCAGTGCCACCCCCACCGTGCCACCCCTCCCGCCCTGAGGAGTGATTCCGGGCGGATGCAGGTGGGTGGACACAGGCGTGGATCAGGGCAGAGGGAGACAGCTCATTCTGCCAGCTCCGATCTTTTAATTGCTGTGCTTCTCAAATATTTCCGAAGCATGACCCTGAGTTGGCTCCTCCAGGCAAATATACAAGCAGCAGCTGGTTGCCTTGAGCACCCCTATATTCTCTTGGCTGTGGATATAATAAAGCTCCCTCCTGCTCCCAGCCCAGGGAAATTATGGTGGATCAGTGGTGTCTGTTTTAGGGAATAAGCTGGAAGCCAGCTTTAATGGGGGTGTGACCCAAGCCAGCTCTTCCCGTGGGTGTGAACCTCAGGTTCCCCCTGCTAGGCACAGCCAGGTCAGGTGAGGTCAGACCCTGTCCCAGCCCTCTGTGCCAGCCTGGATTCCCTCTCTGCAGTCCTGGGAAGGTGCTGGGCATGGGGAGCTCAGTCCTGCACTGCCACGGAGCTGTGTCTCCGGGTGTGTTGTTTGTGCAGGAGGGGTGGGGAGCCCAGGCTCTGGGCTGTGGTTATCCCTCCGTCATTGTCTGTCTGCCTTGCAGTTGCTGGGTGTGGAAACAGAGGTCAGGCTCAATTTGTCTGAAATTTAAATCGCAGCTGGCCTGGGGAGCCGTGGCAGGCACGGGGATGCTTTCTGGTGGCTGGGTGCTCATTCCCTGGGAGCTGGGGATCTCCTGCGGCCCTGCAGTGTAAATCCGTGTGCTTTATCTCCCGTGGGCAGGTGGTGGGACAGATGCCAGGCTCCCGGGGCCAGCAGCGGCCCTGTGTGCGTTTGTTTGAGGTGCTCCCAGGGTGACGTTCCAGCTCTTCCCGCGGGCTCCATCCCGCCGCGCCGGGCTCGCTGCCAGCCGAGCCTGTTCTGCCGGCTGTGGGCACGGCTGGCCCCGATCAGACAGGCACGTAGCAGGGAGGGAGGGCTCCGGCATCCCGGGGCACTGGGCTTGGCCTGGAGCCCACTGGAGGTACTGAGCCCTGTCACACCACGCAGCTGTCAGCTCGGCCCTGGCTCTGAGCTTTCCTCATCAAACAGCTCCCAGGAGGACCTGACCCCTCCTCACCTGCCTTAGTGTCCTCCTGCCCTCCCAGGAGACTGCTCCTCATCACCTGCCATCAGCCCCGTCCCCTTGAGGGCACCTGGGATGCTGCTCCTGGCTCCTGGTGAAATCCAGAGCATCTCCTGGGCTGCTGAGAGCTGCCAGGGAGGTTTTGGGATTGGGACAGGGAGGCTGGTGCCCTGGGACCATGCCTCTCCAAACACAGAGTGAGGTTGCTGTGAGCTCAGGGGGCTCCTGTGCTCACTCCCTGAAGTGTGTACAATGCTGTCCCAAGGTCCTGCAGCTGCTGTGGTCCAGAGCAGTAGGGATTTTGGAGGAACATGATGCTTCCCTGTGTCCCAGTCTCCTGAAGTCAGGCTAGGAATGGAGTCCCACCTTTGTTGAACCCCTGCATTTGCATGTCTAAAGCTCCCCGGAGGGGTTTCAAAGCCAAAGGATCCATCCTGCCCGGGTGAATTCTTTGTTTGCATTTGAATAGGTGCCTGGAAACTGGTTCAGTCACCCGAGCTGCTGCGAGCTGCGACAGCCTCCCCTCCTGCTCTGTGTCCATCCCTACCTGTGAGCCCCAGTGCCTCCAGATCCTGCTGAAACCTGACCTGAGACCAGCTGCTGGTGTTACTCACCCAGCAGAGGTGTTGGATCCAGGCTGTCACAGGTGGGATGGCCCTGGGGTTATGGTCGCCTTCCTTCTTCCCAAGATGCTCTCCCAGGACTCTGGGGACAGGCTGGGAGCACCAGGGGTGTTCACCTGGAGAGGAGAAGGCTCCAGGGAGATCTTAGAGCCCTTCCAAAGGCCAAAACGGGCTCCAGGGGACCTGGAGAGGGACTTTGGACAAGGGCCTGGAGTGACAGGACAGGGGGTGAATGGCTTTCCACTGCAGAGGGCAGGGATAGATGGAATATTGGGAAGAAGTTGTTCCCTGTCAGGGTGCTGAGCTCTGGCACAGGGTGCCCAGAGAAGCTGTGGCTGCCCCATCCCTGGAAGTGTTCAGGCCAGGTTAAATGAGGCTTGGAGCAACCTGGGAGAGTGGAAGGTGTCTCTGCCCATGGAAGGAGGGTGGAACAAGATGA